TAATAATTATAATAATTACAATTATAATATAATAATTATTAAAAATTAAAAATAAATTAAAAAAATTATATTGTGATATAATATTAATTATAATTTTGTATAATTTTTTTGTATAATTTTGTAATTTTTATAATTTTTATAATTTTATAATTTAATAATTACTATTATAATTATATATTATATTATAATTACATTAAAGGCAAATACATTATAATATAATAATTATTATTATTATATTATATTATATTATATTATATTATATTATATTATATTATATTATATTATATTATATTATAAATTATATTATATTGTATATTATATTATATTCTATATTATATTATAATATATATTATATTATAATATATATTATATTATATTATATTATATTATATATTATATTTATTATATTATATTGTATATTATATTATATTATATTATATTATATTATATTATATTTTAATTATTAAACTGTACAAAAAACCGAAATACACAAAGTCTCATGCGATATTTTTGAATTTGAAATATTTTTTGCAATTTAAATTCGATTGCTGAGAGGATTATAAGCAAAAAAATTCATAGTGTGAAATTGCACAGAAATATGTTCTTAATTAAAAGATATCATTCATCTTCGTCAACTTCAAAATGATGAAGTTATCATATATCATTATCAAAAACTTTTCATTGATTTTACTAAAATCGATTACGGAAGGTAATGTCAACCGATTTCTCCCTAACACAATAGTACTGATGGATGATTATAACGATACAGTACTTCGTCTTCTTTATGCAGAATGTGATCTTTACACGGTAATTGTAACACAAGTTAAATTGTTTTTTTCTTTTATAATAAATATTTATTTATATGTGCACATTGGTATGCATCTTCAGAACAAACATAACACCTAATGTCTTTGACTCTACTTTAAATTCTTGCAACATACCATAATGCTACCTTGGGTAATTCCAGAAAATATAAAAATTATGTGTTTTTTCGTTTTGAGGATCATTAAAATACCTAAAGGCAATAATGATATGGTTTAATAGTAACATAGACGGCAAATATACATATATATTGTACTTCATAAACCTTAATTATTCTGTGTTTTTGTTCTACACGAAATATTGTGCGTGTCAGTACAGTGGCCTAAAGGAACGAATAAGTCAATTGACCACCAATAAAGTGGTAGTCACTATTTTGTTTGAAATGAAAGAAAATAAAGGGAATCATTAGGGTTAAACAGAATGTGCAGCAAAATTTTTTAAATAAATTTAGGTAATTAAGTGTGACTTAAGAATTTTAAAAATTATATAAGTAAATTTCATATTAATTTTTATAAATATTATAATATTTTATCTGTTCACACTTATGTTGATAATAAAATGTCTATTGAGAAGCCGTTAATTCCGTTTCGACATTTTATACGCACACTTGTTCCTACTTGATACATAATGTCAATTCAATTATGTATTATACAAAAATAGTAGTTGACCGATTATTGGACTAGACTGACTTCTAGAAATTCATAATAGTGTTAGAACGGTTTCTAAGTCATTAAAGCTGATTTACTTAGCTTAATGTGGGACCGATTTCTATGTTTAAAAAAGACAACGAAGTCTGATCTTTTAACAAAGTCTTTCAAATTAACACCTATACCTTCTGATTAAAAATGAACGAGAAGCCTATTTTTGAATTCCCGCGCTTATCCACACGAAATTTTTTCGGCTTCTTTGTATAGACGCCAAACAAAAACTAATCGTACAATATGCGTTAAATTTGGACAGAATGTGTTACCGATTGGATAAGTGCGGGAATCCGAGTTCTCGTGAATAAGTTCTTTTTTGATCTCAAGGTAACATATATGTGAATAAGTACATTCCAGATATAGTTACACAATTAATACTTTGAAAACTAAAATAGTTCTATTTATTAAACAAAATGATACTGTATTATTATTATGTGAATATATAAAATTATTTACTACTGTTAATGTAAATATATGAAAATTATACATAATATTAAATTCCGCTTAAGCTTTTATAGATAAAAGGCAATAAAATCATACATTTTTTAATTTAATTTCCAAAAGTTTGTCCTTAAATATTTAGTCATAATCACATAACAAGTCTTTATGTTTATGTAAATATATACAAAATTTATAGTTACCTTACAAAATATATTTACAGTTGAAGTGTAAAGTGCAGCAATTTATAGAAATCCTTTCATTTGAATACTCGACCCCACAAAGCCTCCCATAAATACATAAAGATACAAGGACAGAAGCAATCAACTTTCTTATCTGAAAAATAGTTGATTATAGTAAATTTTGTATTTTCATTGCTTAGAGCGCCATAACTAAACTGTGGAATAGTTAAGATACACAAAACGTATGTGCTGAACACCATCAATGATTTTTGGTCCTCGCAAAATAAAACACTCCCGCGCCTTTCCTTATCATTTATGCTTAGAAAATGAAAATGAATAAAAAAAAAACTAATTTTATCAGTACACAATTCAAACCCTTCCAATCAGGCAAATAAAACTGTTGTAAGCGTTAACGCGTACCCCATGCAAATTATATTTTTTGTAGATACTTAGACCCCGCTTATGTCCTGCAGCTATGCGAAGATTACACATGTAAAGGGGTTAAGCATTGCGTACATATGTGCACGGGTAATAACACTGCAGGAATGAATACGTATACAACCAACTAGAATCTGTACAATTTTATGAATCTGCATATTTTATAAAGCACACAGCGCTGGACTCACTCTTGGATTTTCGCTTGATTTTGTCTGAAAGTTAAATTCCTAATCATAGCCGAAGATAGAATGAATTTATGGGGAGTGAGTGAATGTCTATTCAAATGATTTTCAAATTCTTTTGGACTAGTTACAATGAATTTGTAACACAAACAATTGTGTTACTATTCACTGAGTTTACTTGTATCTCATAAAAAAGGGACACGGATGTGTGATGTTTTGTCGGTTAATTTACTTTCTTGTGCGAACGAAAGTGAAAAAAATCGCAAAATAGTGTTAAAAAGGATACTTTTTTTTTACAAAAATTTTGGGTTCACTTTATAAACATATTATATCTTTTCTTTAAATTAAAGAGAAAGTAATTTTTAAACTGAAAATATTGATTTATGTGCTACTTATATATAACGGAAAGGTCAGTGTCGCAATTATTATATATTATGCATTAAAAAAAACACTTTATAAAAAAAAAAATACTAAAAAAATTTAAAAATGTTGGCTAACGTTCAACGGTTAATATTCAATAACTTTAGCATAGTCAGCAAAAAATAAAAGAGGCGTACAGCTTCCATTGAAGTAAAATAGTGTTAGATTAGGTTAGATCAAAGTGGCAGCCTTGCACAACAAATTTAAATAGTATTAGAGATCAGTATATTTTTGAGAGAGACTTAAATACAGTCAATACTTCCATAATTCGAACTACTCTGTAACTTAAATTTTCTATAACTTAAACTTTCTATAACTCTATAACTTTCTAAGTAGAGTGCAACAGGGTTCAAAGAGCAACTTACATACAATTATAAAAAAATCTTTAACTCGAAGTTTCCATAAATCGAATTTTTTCTTTGCAAAATGGTATATCTTTTCTTAAGGAACATCTTCTCATTATAGGGCGAAGTAAAAGTGCGTATATTTCTTATATATATTAATATATTGTTGTATTCTAATTATATGATTTCTGAAGCAAAACAAATAAGAGCTATGAAAGTGTTTACCTCACTGAAAGTTATTTACCTCAATATCTTAGTTTTCAAATGGAACTGAATTTAAAAAAGATTACATTTTATAACGAAAGATTATATGGGAGTTTTGAAGAGAAAATATCTTTTTAAGATCTTTGGTCTTCTACGAGTTACCGACGATTATCACATACGTATGCACCACGAGCTGTGTGAGTTTTATCACGATTTAAATAAATTTTAGCAAATCAACATCCAGTGGCTATGCTAGTTTGGTCATGTCGTGAGAACAGTTGATGATGCTCCAGCGAAAAATGTATTTGAGTAGCAGTTTGAGGAAGGAGGTGTAGAAGAACACCGTGTGTCCGATGTTATGATCAAGTTGAGGAAATACTAACCGCACTTGATATACGAGACTGGAGAAGGGGTGCACGTAGCGAAAGCGCCTGGAGAGACATTTTGTGTCAAGCTGAGACCCGGAAACCAGTAGTTATGACCATTTAATTAAGTAAGAAAGTATATTATTAAAGATTGTTCACAAAGATTCATCCAAAAAACTTCATTTTTCACATTTATATTAATGCAATCTAAAATTTTAGCTTTTGAAATATTTATTTGAGACAAAATAATTAATGTACCAATTGATGAGTAGTGGTATACCTTTGGTTATAAAAAACTTTATAATCTCTAAATATGGTTTTAATAATCTTCTTTCTTTTCATTCAAGACCCTTTACGTTGCTTTTCAGAAAGTTGATTGATTGATACAAACTGCCTTCCACATATTCGTAAACATGATTATAATAAAATCATTGTAAATAATGATATTAAATGTATTTTGTGAGTTCTCAATATATACAAAACTTAATTTAATTTCATTTTAGTGATTACAATACTTTATTTAAAAGCTTTTATTTTATATAAATTTGCAAATGTAAAAATTTTTTGACATTTATTTTTCATATTTTGACATTTATTATAAAAAATATCAAGAGTTTAAAGCGTACTGCATGTGTTTATAAATAAAAACTTGGCAAAATTTATTATAAGGATCAATTATATAACTCATAATTACGCGTAAATGGATTTAGTAACTCTCTAAATTTAAAATGTATTAAAATATTGCTCTAAGAAGTACTTATTATAGGATATGGTATGTAATAAAAATTTTAATTCAATTAAAGTTGGCCTAGATTTTCAAAAAAAATTGATATCCCTAAATAAAAATTTGTTCAGTTCAGTTAAAATATATTTCTACATTTTCCTCATACAAAAAACATACTAAATTCAAAATTCAAAATTAAAAATAAATTAAAAAATGTTTTGGCTAATATATTGTTCGGATTATTTACAGAATACAGTTAATTAATAAGTCCACTTCAAATAATAAAATGAACTTTAAGAATTAATATCAATTAAATTAACAAATATGGTGTAATATATAAATCTCGCTCCCTCTATAATTTTAAAAATTATAGATGATAATAAAAAATTTATTTAAAAAACTTTTGTAAGTATGAATTTTTTTTCCCTATTTTTATAAAATATATATTTATAATATTACATTTAAATAGATTTAAATATTGAAGAGTACCCGAAGAGAACAATATGGTAAAATTCGCTTAGAGAAAGGTATTTTTTTTATAAAATATATATTTATAATATTATTGCATTATTATTGTTGTTTTGTTGTTGTAACCCGCCGGGACCTGAAAGCAGATAACATGAAAGGATTACAAGACGAATACATGGGATAAGGAATGGAAAAGGTGGGAGTGAGTGTGGGGATGAGGGAAAGGGGAGGGGTGGGAGTAATTTGAAACTGACCAGGATCCAGTCGAAGAAACCTATCCACTTCAAGGTAACGAGTCCAAAGGTCGATTGGACTTAAATTGGTGTGTGCATTATAGCATTATTAATTTTAAACAGTTGAATTGAAAACCACCTGAGGAAAAACACTGCATGACGATGATGATGATTTAGATCCAGGTATTTATGCCAATTATATGATAAAAATTTTGCATTTGATTTTAAAATAAGTTTAGATAAACAAAAAAAATAAAAAATTTGTTAAATGTCAAATAAAAAAAATTTTGATGTCAATTATTTTTGACGAAAGTGACGCTTCTTATGACGAAAAGAAACTATTTAAAAGTTAGAGGGATTCCAATAGAAATGAAAAGATAAAATTTTTAGATAGTTTATTGAAATTTGGCTGACTATACAACGCTGTTTTGAATATTGTGAATAAATTAACTAAAATTTTTAGCGTTGTATTTTCATTTCTATTCGAACCCTTTTAACTTTTAAATAGTTTCTTTTCGTCATAAAGCGCTTCACTTTAGTTAAAAAAAAAAAAAATTGACATTTGCATTTTTTTTTTATTTGACATTTCATAAAATTTTTTTTTTGTTTGTTTTTTCTAAACTTATTCTAAAATCGATTTTACTTCACATCATTGATCAAAGTTGTTCTAGAGACAATCTATCTAACACTTATCAACCATCATCCAAATCATTATTGTTTACAAGTAGATTATTAAACCATTCAACTATGAGTGCTTATGATTAACACTTCATACAGCAACCCCAAATACTAGCTACTAAAATAATCTTTGCATATTTTGCGGCCATAAATTAAGCCAACTCACACTCCTCCCCCTTCTTCGCTCAAAAGTGCGAAAACCACACACGCATACAATTTAAAGTTTAACTTCTCACTAACGCTATAGTTTTCATGGTATTTTTATACGCATTTTCAAAATTATTGATCCAATTCAATTTTATATGTAAATTTTCTAAATTTACATTATTATAGGCGTAAAAAATCATACACACATATCCACACACACACATAAGCATAAATATATCTATACGTCTCTGTATATAAATTTATTTGTTGATTTATTTATATGAGCTTATGTGATATTGAACGTATTCATATAATATATATATATATATATGCTTACATACATATGAGAAGTGTCTTTTGTGTTTGTTTGTTTGTTTGTTTTTGTTGGTATTTTATTTTATTTTATTTTTTTTCATAAAACTTTACAACAACAACAACATTTCCCCCCATTAGTCGCCATAGTCCACTTCCGCTAAGTGTAAAAGCAAAAGCTACAATTTTCAAACATTGACACACACATACATTTAAATTGTTAACTCACATGCAAGTTTTGTCTTCAATATTTGAAGGCTTTAAAAAAAAAACGAATTTCTAAAAAAGCACTCCCTTATATAGTAAAAAAGTAAACAAACAAAAAATGCTGGTTTTTTTTTTGTGCAACTACACAAATCATGGACCACTTCTGCTGCTTGCAAGTCCGTCTTGCCTATGATCGTCAATACACGACCGTATGCATTCCCATGGTTGGCACTGTTCATTGTGGCATTGCTGCTGTTGTGAATGTCAGTAGCGAGCCCCATACGTAGAAGGAATAGGCAAGTTTCGTTGTCATTCGTATTAGGCATCGTGTTTGCTTTTGCGTCTATTCGTGTCTTATCTTTGCTCTGCTATTTAAAGCTTCGTAATTGTTGTTGTTGTTGTTGTTGTTACTGTGTGGTGTTGTTGTTAGTTGTGGGTGTTGGGAGGTAGGCATATTTATACATACATTTTTTTTATTCATTATTCAGACGGACCAATTTATTTATTCACACTCACACAAAACAGTCTTGTTGGTGTGGTTTTTTTTTGTTTTCTTAATTTTGCATGGCCAAAATTTAAAAATTTCTGTTTTATTTGTTAAGTTGCAAATGTGTTGGTAGTGGTGGTCTATGCTTTAAGCGGTAATATGTGATAAAGCTATGCATAATTTTTGTTGGTTTTTTTTTTGAAAAATTAAAAAAAAATTAGTAATATTGATCTATTATAATTGGGATATTGGTTGAAGAGTATTTAATTATGTTAAGGCTAGTTGAGTCAGTGCACTTGAGCACTTTTACTCTCTATTAGCTGCGAGCTTTCTTCATAACCCCTTTTTACGCCTTGACTGGATTATTGTTTATCACTTCATTAGTCTAAGCAATAATTGACCTTAGATCTGTATACTTCTCCGAGGATCCTGTAACCATTCTGAGATTGGATAACGCGGTGTTAGTAAGTCTAACAGTTTTCGTAAATAAATTCAGGGCTTTATCTTTTATGTATCTTTTGCTTGGATCAATTTTAAGGTGCCTGAGGATGTCATTCGCCCTAATGTAATATGGTACCTTGAAAAGTGTTCTCAGAACCTGGCTTTGTACAATTTCTAGTTGGCGAATAGTAGTGTAGTATTTAATGTAAATTTAAAATAAAATATAAAAATAGAAACAAATAGAATATTTTGGTAAAAGTAATAAGAAAGGAGAGTTCAACAAATAAAAGTCATACATATTTATATCACATCTCCGACCTCTACGATGTGACCAATTTTCTCTTCCTGCGTTGTATAGAGATATGACTCTCAGAAAATGTTTCTCAATTGCTATTACAATTGATAAACCACTATATTAAACCAACAGAAAAAAGTTATACCAACCAACAGAAAGAAAGACGTCCTAACAAGTTCCCAACCCATTAAAAATTTATGTATATATCTATCTATACCAAGCTCTGTGAATGTTTTAGCAAAACTTTGGTTTGCTTATATTTATCTATATAATATCTATATAATGCATAACTATAAAATAATTAATTAATTAATTAATTTAATTTTTTGTGTATTTTAGTTGACTGTTACGCTTTTTGGACTTAACACATTTTAAGACAATGATATCAAATAGCCGACTTTAACTGTTAGGAGAAACGTTAGTGAAGTGAGCCTATTTTAAAGCAATCGAAATCACTCACGCTAAATAAATCAGTGAATGGGAAAATGGAAGTCACAACCTAATTGTATTTGGTCTGCTTATGTCACAGAGCTAAACTAAGCAGATGTCGTCTATTTGAAATCAAACATAATGTTTCTTCGACTTAACTTATCTTTGGGAAAATGTGGTCATAATGTGGTCTTAACTGCTAAAGTAAAGCGTCAGTGGTAATGGATACATCGCAAACACTCTTACGGCTGAATAAACTAGAGCATAAAAGAATAGAGATCACAATATAACACTAATTTGGTGATAGTCGAAGATCTGCACATGTTACTGAGCTAAACTTGTTAAGATGTCATCTATACAGAATCATGCATTATGCTTTTCATGAACTTAATGGCAGTATTAAGTTTGCTATTACAAATGATGAATTGTAGTTGGTTCAAGATTCACGAATTATTGATACGATTCCGATTTTTCAAATCAATGGGTTATGGGTCATTTATACATTGTCCAAAGCTGTTATAGCACCTTACATACATCGCTCGTACAACTTCATTCAAATCAACTGCTTGACCGTTACAAATGTTTGCTCTTGGTCCATGGTTTAATTTCTTGTATCCGATTTTAGATTTGGATTATGCATCCAAACTTAGCTTCAGCATAGTCAAAACCTGTCACCATCTATGTAGATATATAATGGGACTGAACTTTAGCACATATAATGTGACTTTAAATTATGAGATGAAGCCTTAGGAAAGCTGAAGGATGTTTGCTATTGGTTCATGGTATAATTTCTTGTATCCGATTTTAGTTTTGGATTATGCATCCAAACTTAGCTTCACCATTCTCAAAATCTGTCACCATCTACATAGATATATAATGGGACTGGCATGGGATAGCACATATAATGTGACTTTATGTGACTTTAATTATGACATGAAGCATTAGGAAAGCTGAAGGATCAGTTTTTCCGACTTTTTTCACAGTAAAGAAAACCTAAGAAAGCCGAATCAATCAAATGATTCATATGATATGTTGTAAAAATCTACAACATATCGTAAAGAAAAATTTGAATATAAATACGATTAAAATGGGTAGACGGAGACGAATAAAAATAGAAGGAAGACAGCTCTTGATTGGAGCATCGCATCTTCAAATTGTTAAACCTTGAATCGAATGCAAACGGATCAAGAGAAAAAATTGGAAGCAAATGTTCGGTTAGTGATTAGTTTCTTCTAACGGATCTTTCTAAATGCTTTAAGTAATAACACGTATATATATATATATAGTTATAAAATAATCATTGAATGAGATTGTGATTTTTTTTGTTTAATTTAGTTGATTATTGTGTTTATTGGGTGTTACTCATATGAGGAATGTGTGGCCATAACGAAGATCTCAACTGTTACAAGAAACCGAAGCGTAGTTAGACCAAAGAAAGCAGTTTCGAAGCAATCAAATTTACGTTTATGACTACATAAACATAAATGAAAATGAATGAAGGAGCATGAAAAAAAGAGGTTGCAACATGTCATAAGTAATCATTTGGTATTGGATGCACACATGTCACTGGATGTTAGTGGAATTTAGTGGATGTTAGCTATACCAAATTGAGCACTATGCTTTTCATGCTAATTCTAGAACACCAGTAAAGTTTTGCCATTACAAATTACGAACTATAGTTGCTTTATGATAAACGAATTATTCGCTCGATACCGATCTTCCAAGTTAATTGATCATATTAAGGGTTTATCGAGACCCTCACTGCAGATACAATTAGAATTATTCTAAGCAAGAGTTTTGATTTGATGCTTCTGAAGAAGCGCTCTGAAGAATGATTCTTATAAGAAAACTGCGAAAGCCTATGTTATCGAAAACCAACGATTTACCTTTAACATACGGCATAGCAAAATTTGAAAATACTGGGTAGTGAAAGCAAACGTTTGGCTTGGATCTAGTTTTTTTTTGTAATTTTTTCTACACCAGTTGAGTTGAGAGAAAAAACTGGGAACATAGATTCGGTTTGCGAATAATTTTTTGGAGCTAATCTTTCTACCTAACGCTTTGTTGAAACCTTACGAGTTTAGAGTATGTAAGGACATTTCCAGTTTGGACGAGGATATCAATGATTTGCAATAAGGCGGATCATTGGATGCGAATACCAAAAGGCTGCTTTTCAATATTTAAAAAAAAAATACATATATAAAACTTTAAACACATACTTAAAATATAAATATTAAAAAAATATTGTAGTTCTTGGTTTTTTGAGATAGAGAGTGCTTTTTCTTTTAATTACATTTAATTAATTGCTTCATGATTATTGGATTAAAAGTTTAATCTCGCTTTGAAAATATGTTTAAAGGTAGCTCATATTTGTAGTCTTTGCCTCTGTAATCTATATTCTTTGTTAATGTTCCGCAACTTTCGGAAAAGGTGTTTAAAACGTTTATTTGAGTTTTATCAAATATAGGACTAAGGGAACTTGATATTTATACACCTTTGCAAATTTGAAAGTGAAACATTCATCTATATTTTTTATCTTCGTTTTCCGATTGTCAGGAAAAAGTTCAGAGCTTTTATTTGGTCCTTATCAAATATGGGATTGGATAGCTGACATGAGCAGTTCTTGTGAATCGCAAATTAAAACATCCATATATATTCTTAGTTTATGGTTTGCGATTGCCACGAAGGGTGTTTCAAAACATCTATGTTTATATTCTAAGATAGCCAGCAAAGAAGGTCAGAGCATTTATTTGATCTATATCGAATATGAGACTAGAAGCAACTAACACTTACAGTTCTTGTGAATTGCAAGTAAAACATCTTTTTGCATTCTTCGTTTATGTTCTGCAATATTCGAGAAAGAAGTTCACAACCTTCATTTGGGTTTTATCGAATATAAAATTAAAGGTACTCAAATTCTACATTTATTTAAAATTGCAAAGTAAAATATCTACATATATTATCTTGCAGATTCTGTGATTGTCAGAGAGACTTAAGAATTTTTATTTGGTGTTTATCGTATACCAAATTATAGATAGCTGATGAGTGCAGTTTTTTGTAAGGTGCAACATCCACGTTTACGTTTTGTGATTTTCGTGAAAGGAGTTCAGAGTTTTCATTTGGGTTTTATCAAATATAGGATCAAAAGTAGCTGATATCTACATATTTTCCGAATCACAAACTGAAACATCTTCGTTCATGTTCTGCGATTGTTAGAGAAGTAGTTTGTTACATTCATCTAGCTGTTATTGAAGTCTGAAAACTTTATTCAAAACATAATTATGTTCATTAATAGTTTCAAACTTTGAATATATTCGATTAGTAAAGTTCCTATAGGAATATAACAATAGATCTGATAGACCATTGTCTCCTCATACAAACATATGAAATATTTATATACAAATAGTGTTTAATGTCTATAAATTGAGTTAAGCATTAGCTTTTGAGGCCAACTGGCTTGTTATGATCGTAAGTCGTGATCGTATATCGTTTATATACTAGCCGAATAATATGAGAAATATGGTTCATGAGTTCCTCCAGCAATATAACAATAGATTTGATTGACCATTGACTCTTTTGATAGTAATATATACACACATATGTAATATTTATATACAAATAGTTTTTAATCTCTATATATTGAGTTAAGCATTAGCTTTTGAGGCCAACTGGCTTGTTATGATCGTAAGTCGTGATCGTATATCGCTTATGTACTAGCCGATTAATATGAGAAATATGGTTCGTGAATCGTCAAATTTTAGATATCATAAAAGATAGCCTCATCTGTTTAGTAGTATTTCTTCTGTTTAGTAGTATTTAAGTCCCTTTTTAATGATTAAAATTTCTACGCACACAAAAACCAATTCGTGGCGATTGTGGCTACACAGTTGTGGGCGTGGCTTTACATTTTTAAATCAACGCATTGTAATTTTTGATGCTTTGCAAAACTGTTGTTTTACAACTTATTAGTATTATCAATTAATTCTCAAGTAATATATATATTCTCTAAACAATAATAATATTAAATTATGAATATAGTACTTACAAAGTCTTAATTGCGCAATGAATGTAGCCATTTTGATAAAACTACCGTTATTCAGGTACCAACCGTTTTTATGTATACATCAATAAATAAAATAGTTTACAAAGATTATTACATGTTATAATTCTTTTATTAGTTTTGTTATATAGTAGTTTTAAGTAGTCATTAGTAATACAATTTCATTTATTTTTGCTAAAGAAATCAGATTTTATTACAAAAACACAACAGACGCCACCAACTTTTTGCTTTTAGCTTCAGCTGTTAATTTGCAAGCATTTAAGTCCTTTTAACTGAATGCATATGTCATGCAATGTTTGTAATCAATACTTTTTCACTTAATTTGCACTTAATACATATATTTTTTTATATATTACTTAAAATATTTGATTTATTAAGGTTTTTAAAAAATTTTCACACTATTATGAAATTTTTGTTTAAATAAAAATTTAAAGTTGGCAGCACTTTTAACTGTCAAAAACGTTGTGCACCATGAACATAGCTCAACTTCTGTTGTGAAATGTCAAACAGCTGCTTGTCAAATGCTGCTTGTTTTTGTGTTGCTATTTGAAGTCAGTCGCACGTGTTGACTGTGTTTGCAATTTATTTAAATTAAACTAATAAAATCATGAGTAAAAAAGGTAAAGGAAGCAGTAATCTTGGTAGATCCTTAATCAAAGACAGATTTGGTCATGCAAATCGTAAAAAAGTGGACAATGACACAATGGTAATGCTGCTTCAGTGAGCTCATGTTTACACAACAAAATCTCTTATATATAAATTTTATTTATTTTAATAATTTTTAGTTACACACAACAGAAATTCAAGATGGTTATGATTGGGGTCGTTTGAATTTAACATCCGTTACCGAAGAGTCATCATTTCAGGATTTCTTGCGTACAGCTGAACTGGCTGGCACAGAATTTCAAGCTGAGAAGCTGAATATAACTTTCATTAATCCTAAACAAGGTGTGGGTTTGTTATCTAAAACACAACAGCAAATAATTAAAAAAAAACATGATGATAATCGTGATTTACTAAAAATACCACGACGTCCAAAATGGACCGCAGACACCACTGCTGAAGAATTGGAACGTGCAGAAAATGAAAGTTTTCTGAACTGGCGTAGAGATTTAACTCTATTGCAGGAAGAAGATGAAGAAATGTTAATGACACCATATGAAAAAAATCTGGAATTTTGGCGTCAATTATGGCGCGTTGTTGAACGTTCCGATGTTGTGATACAAATTGTAGATGCACGTAATCCCTTGCTGTTCCGTAGTGATGATTTGGAAAAGTATGTAAAGGAAGTGGATGAAAACAAAATGAATGTTATACTGTTGAATAAATCAGATTTACTAACAGATCAACAGCGTGTATATTGGGCAGATTATTTTGATAAACAAGGCATACGTACAGCATTCTTTTCTGCGGTGTTAGCTGCTGAGGAATTAAAACTGGCGGCCGAAGCAGAGAAGTTAAATAAAGTTAAAGTAGAAGATGGTATTGTTACGGATGAAGATGCACTAAGTATGAAAGAAATTAAGGCTGCAGCAAATGAAATAAATCAAGCACTTGATGTTTGTGAAGAAAAGTTAAGTCAAATTGAGCAAAAAATATATGGTGACGATAAAACGGAAAAAGCCACTAATGGCGTGACATTGAGAAATAATCCTAAAGTCCTAACACGCTTAGAACTTATAGAGTTTTTAAAAACCGTGTACAATGGTTCAACTCGTACGCCAAATGTAACCACAGTCGGTTTGGTGGGTTATCCAAATGTAGGAAAGAGTAGTACCATAAATGCGCTAATGACACAGAAAAAAGTTTCCGTTTCGGCGACTCCTGGTAAAACGAAACATTTTCAAACATTATATTTAGACAAGGATTTGTTGCTGTGCGATTGTCCAGGATTGGTTATGCCCAGTTTTGTATTAACAAAGGCTGATATGATATTAAATGGTATACTACCAATCGATCAGGTATGCCTAATGTGTTTATTAAAATATTTTATTTGTAATAAATTATTCTATATTGTTCCAAAGATGCGTGATCACGTTCCTGCTGTTAATTTATTATGCACACGTATACCACGTCATGTGTTAGAAGACAAATATGGTATTATTATAGCTAAACCGATGGAAGGTGAAGATCCTACACGTTGTCCACATTCAGAAGAGCTTCTTTTAGCTTATGGCTGTAAGTGAAAATATCATTTAGTTATAAAAGAAATTGTATATAAATTTAAAAAATTAATTTAATTTTAGATAATCGAGGCTTTATGACGTCTAATGGTCAACCTGATCAGTCACGCTCAGCTCGTTATGTTTGTAAAGACTATGTAAATGGAAAATTGCTTTTTGCTATTGCTCCACCTGATGTGCCACAAGATGAATATCATATATTTCCAGAAAGACAGCGAAAACAGGTTGATGAAAAAGCACTGCCCAGTCAGCAACAGCGAGCAATGCGGGTATGAGGAACTTAATGTACTATCAGTTATTTAATTAAGTTAGTGCAAAATTATTAATTAATAATAATTATAAAATAACAGTAATAATTAAAAAAAAATTTATTTTTTCTACTATATAAATTTTATCGCATTACTTTCCATTAACAATTATTAATTAACAGTATTATTGATGTTAACTAAGACTTATATATTACTTGACAGTTTTAATTGATACTATTATCTTTCCCACAGATTGATAAAAGTTCAACTTCAAAGGACATCGACACTCAATTTTTCGCAGCTAATAACAATCAAGCTTATGTTAAAGGTCGTAGCAATTTTCCACATATACGAGTCTCAGCCGATGGTACAATTTCAGCAACGGAACCCACTGCCAAGCCCTGGCGCACCAATAAAAAAGAGAAACGTGAAAAACTACGAAAAAAATTCTCGCACTTAGATCAGCATTAATGTATAAAAAAATGAGCGTAAATATTTTTTTTTTGTAATTATTATTCATTTTCGAGTATTTTAAAGTGTATAAAAATGGTTTCTCATTATAGGTCTCTGTACATAAATAATTATAATACAATATAATTTTATAAACATTTTAAGAATGGAATAATTTTTTATTAAATACATCATATATAGTCAGTTGTCCAATTATTAGATCAGTTGTATAGATTATATTATAAGTTTTTCGGTAATTAAATTAATTAGGGATAAATTGAAGATTATAGATTTTTGTATATGTTGAAGAGTGTTAGTGGTTAGAGGGTAGTATTATTGGATAAACAAATTTTGGTTGAAGGTTGGCACATTTGGACACATTGTCGCATAGTTTAAAAGATTTCTTTCTGCATTGCAGTTTTTTTAGCTTCGCTTTATTTAAAAAAAACCAATTTTAGGAAGAGTCTTGAAGAAAGATGGACCTTTTGGTATGTCATCATACTAATTTAAACGAATTCTACATTATTGTTAAGTCATGTTATCTTCTCAACCCACGTTGAATTCTAGATAAAATAGGTTTAACAAGTTCATGGTAGGGTTTTATGAAAAATTTTTACAAGATTATTAATGATATTCAGGTATATTTGTTATTAACGATTTATTAATACATTTTTAAGTTTAAGAAAGAAAAATTACTAAAAGGAAAAAGTTTTTTCTAAAAGCTATAAAATGTTCATCAGAAGATGCTTTAAAGATAGAAATACTGCTACTCTTAATGAGTAGTAATACTACTACTCATCATAGACATAAAAACTACTATGACGGAGAAATTTGAACAAACGGGGACAGCAGGTCCCACACCAGTATTCTCTTTTAATCCCGAAAAGAACTCAGACAGTCGCAAAGAATATGACTAGAGATTTAATTGGCTTACAAACAGAGTAGTAGATTGTATTATTTAGAAAAAATTTTGCAAAAAAAAAAATTAAACGTCTTTATTCTTATTATTATTTCTAAAATATGTTAGTATATATTGCTTCCTATTATTTGATAAAAATACGTACATATAATTGGCATTGACTTCAAAATTAGAGACTATCGTAATAATTGTAAATAAAGACACATAGAAAGAACATTTCATTGACTACTGTGCGGGTTACTCAAGGGTCAAGTCTTAACTTCTCCAGACATATCAATATTTAGGAATTGGCAAAACTTGCCCCATTTGCTGTTATGAAAAAAATTGGTTGGTTTAGTGTAGGATTCCTCTTGTATATTTTACAAAATGCAAATTGTGGTCTCATATCTGTTTCAGTTACAACCATTTAAGAGGGGGGCATTTCCAATCTTATCTAAATTACTTTATTAAATTTCAAGATTTTTGGTTGTGTAATAAAAATTATCTTTACTACTAATTAAAAGTTTCTATTTTTTTAAGATTGCAGTAGATCATATACGAGAGAACCATCTAAGTTTTGAATATACTCGTATATTCATATTTCTAGAAAAATAATCTCTATTTTGTTTTCAAGATAAGAATACTTTATACCTCAACTTAGTATTTGTTATTGTTTAAATACTCTTATGTTTTGTTTTGATTTATTTTTCTATAAAATTAACCTTTGTAATTACAAATATTATAAAAGATTTTGTAGAGAAGAGGGCGTATCACTTACATAAAACTTGAAACTAATTTTAATTTTATAATTGGACTTAATAACAGTATTGGTACTAAAAACAATCTGTAGCCACTTATAAAAATAATTAATATTAATAAGCTTGAGAGACTAGTTATCTAGTAATAAAGTAATTGGTGAAATAATTGGAACGCCTAGATTAGAAACTATGAGATTCAAGACAGATAATAACAGATTCAAATTGTAGTAGTACACTTTAAAAATGTTTATTGTTGTTAAACTAGTTGTAAGACCTCATAAATTGTTTGGGATTAGTAAGTTGAAAATTTTATGAACTATATGATATATATCATATATAAATGTGGGAAAAAACATGCTGTTTTTGGTGCTGTTAGCTGGTGAAATATTAAATAAAATAATAAATAAACACTTCTTTGCATACTATTTTAAAAATATTTAGACTGTAGCTTCATAAAAATCTTTGTAAAATTGTTCTTCTACTTACTTGTTTTTGGTGCTGTTAGCTGGGATAAAAAGTTTTTATTTACTTTTTGTATTTTTAGCTTATGCTTGGCTTTTTTTATGTCTATTAAAATTTGATTTATGTTAAATACTGACTGCTTTCAAGACGACAGGCTAGGTTTATCACCTGCAGCAGTAGCAGGGACTGGTCGCAGGTCACATCAATGAAAGTTTTAAATGATAAATATAGAACCTCGAAGTAATACTAACGTAGTACTGGGGTAGGACAAAGGTCTCTAGGAATGAGGGACAGTGGTTTAGTCTGTGCGAGTCGGGCACTCACTTTCTGGGGCGTCGGATTCTGATCAGTGCGTAGGCATTTCACTCCGTACCGCAAAAAAAAAGTACTGACTGCTTGATTGATAGAAATTAAGAGCCTTATTTCTTAATTGATAAGAATTAAATTTAGTAGGTGAATTCATATTAAGTGTACATTTCAATAAATGTGGGGTTAAGAATTTTTGTTTTGTAGAATCATATTCTTCATTTATTCCATTTTTCAAGGAATCATCATACATATACCCTGTTACTACTAACTCGATGGTAGTGGAATTTTTTATTTCTAACTGATATGATTGCTTTTATTAGAGTACACAAAATGTTTGAAAAACAAATTATAAACATTTGCGATAATATTTAATTATGTATAAAATAATTCGGTGAGTTATAGAGCAGTAGAACTGTGTACATATGCCAAAATATGTGCGTATTTACTTTCCTCAATAGTGCTCGTATCGTCTGTATAATAAATATTATAACAAACCAAGAGTAAACAAGAGAAATAAAATAAAATCAACTTAAGTTCGAAATACTAAAAATAAATTGATAAGTCTGTCGCATGAGACTCGCTCTAGACATTTTTTCGTAGTCCGTAAACAGTTGAGCATAAACCGGCAAGATGAGCGCAACTAAATCGGCGGCGGTTGTTGCAACGCTTTCTGCGTCTACGAAAGCTTCATACAAAACCCTAATACTGGAACAACGTGAAAACATACTCTGCATAACAATCAATCGCCCGCAAGTGCGGAATGCACTCGATCGCCATGCGCTTTACGAGATTATGCGCGCTCTCCACTATGCGAAAAGCGTCGACACAATAACAATGGTTGTTTTGACTGGAGTGGGTGATGTGTTTTGTGCGGGCAGTGACCTCTCACAAATCGAACGATACAACGATCCACATGAATATTTTAAGGGTGCCAATTGGGTGTTACGATTTTTTTTGACGACATTTGTATTTTTCCCGAAACTATTAGTGGCAGTTGTTAATGGACCTTGTATTGGTACTGGTTTCACAATCTGTGGGCTTTGTGATATTGTTTATTGTACTGAGAGAGCTTATTTTGAAGCACCTTTCTCGAAACTCGGAATTTGTCCTGAACTTGGTTCATCATATTTGTTTCCAATGATTTTGGGACGTGCCAAAGCAACAGATGTGCTTGTTTTTGGAGAGAAGTTGACAGCACAAGAAGCATTACAGTTTAATTTCGTAGCTGGTGTTTATAAGAGAAATGAAGTGAATGAGTTACTTTGGCCCAAATTATTGCAACATTCTAAATTGCCAAAGGAGTCTTTGAGAATCTCTAAGAAACTGTTAAGAGTACCGGATAGAGAGGCTGTGCTTAAAGCAGCGGCGGTAGAATTTGAAGAATTACGAAGCTTACGGTATGGTGAGGTCTATCTGAAAGCAATCGAACGTTTCCTCAAAAAGAATAAGAACAGTAAATTGTGATAAGATAATGGAACTTATTTTTAATCTAATTTTGCGTAGTGAAAACTAGCGCGAATAGATACTTTTATCTGTGTTTAATTAGATGCGTAAACATAATAAACATGAAATGAAAAGCAAACATGTTTTGTGCCCAAATGAAAGAGAATTTTATAATCGTTGAGATAATATGGGACCACCTACATATGAGTTTAGATATAAATGTGTGTAATTTGTTAAAACTAGTTTGTTTATTGTATATATGTAATTATTTTAATATTTCCAAAATAAAGATTTCAATAACAAAAAGTCGTTGCAAATATTTACTGGATGTACTCGTCTATTGATATTGATCTATAATTATTAAATTGGAATGATTGTTCTTTATTATCACACTATTATCACAGTAAATTCAAAAATTTTAAGTTTTTAATAAGGCCAAAAGAAAACAATAATATAAATAAAAAAAAAAAATAAAATAAATAAAAAAATAAATTAAATTACAACAAAACTAAGTAATATAAAAAAAATTAATATATTAAAAAAAATTTATTATAAAATTTATTTATTATTAATTTAATATTAAATAAAACAAAATAAAATAAAAAATCGTAAAATACAATGTATATACCATTACCATAGTTCCAATCATTATAAGCATACCCAGATTATTTCCAAAACACCAGTACTGTGTTTTTCAAATCATAATATCTCGTGCAGGATCAGTTCCAAAACGCCTATACTATAGTTCCAGTACTATGTGTATACTGTGGTTTCAATATCAGTTATAGAATCAGTTTCAAAACTTCGATATAAGTTCCAATCATAATATGCATTACTAGAATAGTTCCATAAAATTAAAACAGTATTTTTAATAATAATATCTCTTAAAGGATCAGTTCCAAAAGGACTATACTATGGTTCCAGTACCATGTGTATACTGTGGTATCAATATCAGCTATAGAATCAGTTTCAAAACTTCAATATAAGTTCCAATCATAATATCCATTACTAGATTAGTTCCAAAACTCTAGTATTGTATTTCAAATTATAATATCACGTACAAGATTAGTTGTAAAACGCTTATACTATAGTTCTAGTCATAGTCAATATTAAATTCAATCATAGCAAGCATTCCTGGCTTAGTTCCAAAACACCAGTACTGTCTTTCAAATCATAACATACCGTACTATGGTTTCAGTACTGTCTGTGAACCGTCGTTTCAATATCCGGTTAGGATCAGTTTCAAAACTTCAATATTAGTTCCAATCATAATATATGCTATCATATATCAACTCCAAAACAATTGCACTGTAGTTTTGATCATGATATCCGCAAGGGAACCAGTTCAAATACGTAAGTACTGTTATAATAATAATATCCATTATAGGATTAGTTTCGAAACGCCATTCTGCAGTTTTAATTATTCAAGTCCGCTACACGATCACTGCAAAATGCCAGTACTAGAGAAGCTAGTACTAGTTTCAATCATGATATTCGCTAGCAAAACAACTCAATGGAACTAATACTGTAGTTGTAATAATATCCGCTACAGGATCAGTTCTTAAATATTTAAATAAAAGCTTAGCAAATTCTATTGGCTACAATATATTAATTATTACTGAATATTTTTGCAATAGTAAGAAGATTTTAACAGATGGTAGCTTTATGGGTATAGCACCAGGACTGGACGAAGCCTAGTGATTTCGGGCTGGTAGGAATATTCAGTTTCCAAATTTTAAGTCATGACATATTGAATTCAAATCTTAAATAAAATTGAGTATTAATTTAGAATACTACCTATCAACGCCTTAGGATCGGCGATAATATGTTAAGTATGAAAAATTTGTTATAACATAGATTACAATGTTTTACAGAAATAAAATAAAAATGAAGATCTCTGATCAATGTTTATTATGTTAGTTTAGGTTATACCGGCGATCTGAAGGGGATCCATTTAGACATATTGGTCCTTTTTGTACTGTATAATGGAAAAACTCGGGGTTTAAAATCACCTGGATCCTTTGGCAAAGCTTAAAATACTGTTTAGTGGAACGTGTTGAAGGTGATCGAGATTCCTCAAAAAGGAAAACCTAAAGTATTTAGTTGCCGCCGTGCATGAGGTGGGCAAAGACAAAGCAGATGAGAGGCACTTTTATTTAGTAATGTTAATTAGTTTCCATATAAATTATAAATGGGTACTTCGGAACCGTTAATTAGGTGTATTCAATTCTAGGATGAAGGGAGATATTACTCTTGAAGGATGGTGTATTATTTGAATATCATGTTTGACATACGATATCTAATCTATTAGATAATATCATTGCTGTTGCCAATATTTTTAAGAACACAAATTTTTGATAAGTTATAAGTACAGAAGACATATTTGTCTTCAATATTGGAATGAATTTTAGAATAGTTTAGAGTTCTCTCAAATACAACAATCTCAGTCGAAAAAATATCCTTGTAATGTACAACTTTTTTTAAAATTTTTATATTAATTGCAAAAGCTTTTTTAAAGACTAGAAACATCATAACGGATATGATTTAATTTTTATATTTTAAAGAAGTATTTGTAAAAATAGAAGATGTAATACCTCTTCAGTAAATTTAAGACAAAAGTTTGTAGACGACTGTCTAATATACACACAAATTAGTTAAAAATACCCACCATATATCCAGATCTTTGATCTTCTGAAGTCGGCCTTGGCGACTGACTTACCTGAGTTCACCTTCTCGAAGGTCTCCAAGTTCACTCCACCTGCGCGCTTCACAAAGCGTAACCCCTCTAGGTATGCCAATTCTTGTATTTGGGAGCTCCATCCTATCCCTTCTACAGACATAAAGTCCCTTCTCAATGTTAAGCGACTTCCATCGCTTAACATCATCATTTCACTCGAGCAGAAATCTCGTAATGAGATCCCTCAATGCTCAAATTGTCAACGCTATTTTCACACAGCTAAGCTGTGTAATTACCCCCACCGTTGTGTACGCTGTGGTGAGTCTCATCTACGTGGCGAGTGTCAACTTCCTCCTCCAGCTTTTGATCCAGTTACTCAGGAGCAACTTGCAGCCACTATCCCCAAGTGCTGCAACTGCGGTCAGACTGGTCATCCGGCCAATTACCGCTGCTCCAAATATAAGGAGCTGCGTTCTCTTCGCGCCAATAAATCTCGTGCGCAAAAAATCCCCCCCCTCATGTCTATTGACTTGAGGACTCCGTCAAATTTCGTGAGACCTGGTGTCTCATTTGCCTCTGCGGCTAAAGCCGCAACCCCTAAACCCATTTCGCTGCCTAAGACAGCTAATCCTTCTCCTATTCGTGCTCCTGAGTCAGACTCTTTTCTCCCTGATATTCAGGGTATCTTCGCCTTTGCTGCTGGCATTAAACAGCAGTACAGCCTTCTGCCCCATTCTGACAAGAAAGCCTTTCTTGTCCAGAAAGTCCTCGAATTGGCACTGAGATGAATGATCTAAGGATCATTCTCATAAATGTCAATTCGATACACTCCAATCTTAGGCGTGCTCTTTTCGCGGATTTTGCTGAACGCAACAACCCTCATATCATCCTTGTGACTGAAACACGGCTCAATATCAGGAACGTTGTTGATGTCAGAGGATATAATTTTATCCGGTTCGATAGGGACGGCGTCGGCGGGGGAGTCGCCATCTTGGTAAAAGACTCTCTCAAGTGTTCTAGGATTCACATCCCCTCACTTGTTTCTCTTGAGGCGGTTGGTATTACTCTTTCTCTCTCCAATCGCCCTGATCTCAATATCTTTTGCATCTACCACACATACTCTATTGTTTCTTCCATTGACCCACATGATCTGGGCACTCTTGCTTCCTTGTCTCCTAACCCCTTTCTTATCGGTGGTGACTTTAATAGTAAGCACCCCTTTTGGAATAATGCTGCCTCTTGTTTCAATGGCACCAGGCTATTCAACTGGCTAACTAGTAGCCCAGTCAGTCCTATTCTAAGTGTGGTAGCTCCTTCGGTTCCGACTCATGTCAATAGTATCATTGACTTTTTTTTAGCGGATAATCGCCTTCTTCCCAGCCTCGGTGACCCACGAGTCATCGACGGCATTTCTGACCACCAAGCCGTAAAGCTTGCGCTTCACGACTGCAGAGCTGCTCGTGCCTGTCCTCGCACTTTTTTTAATTTTCCCAGCACCAACTGGTCAGAGTTCAATCTCACTCTTGACCAGCTCCTTCTCAATTTGAGCATTCCCGAACACAGGAACATGACTCCGGTGGAGATTGATTTTGCTGCCCTTACTCTTGAAAGCATCTTCGCCTCCACAATTGATGAGCATGTTCCGAAGGTGCATGTTCGCAAATTTTATCAAGTTCCACTTGATACTACTACCCTTCACCTCATTAAACTGAGGAAATCGCTTCGCCGCAGATATTATCGCCTTAGACAGGTTGCATCCACGCAAGCTCATGCGTTCCAAGCTATCCTTAAGAACCTGGACACCATAATTGCCCAGAGGGTCAACCAAGCCAGGTTCAATTCCCTTAGTGCCAAACTTCGGGCCACCCAGTGCCGGCCTGACGTCTTCAGCACGATCAGGCAAATCTGCGGATCAAATAGGTCCATTTCTGATCTCCGCTATGGCAACACCATAGCATATGATGACTTCGATAAAGCCAACGTCTTTGGTGAAGTCTTTGTGACTAATCACCGTCTTACGGCTGGCCTAGGCGAGCGCCACTTTATGTCCACTACAAATTCTGTAGTGCATGGGCTCTTTGATGCTTTTAATGAAAGCATTGTTACTTTCTCCCCGCAGTTTCCCGCTCACTGCATCAATGTTGAAGACACTCAAGGGTTTCTCACCCCAATTGATCTTACTAACATACTTCGGCTTAAAGCCCCTAAAAAGTCATCTGGCACTGATTGCGTGTCTTTTTACGCTATGAGGCGTTTCTCACCACTCTTTTTTAAAAAGTGCGCCATGCTCTTCAACCATGCGTACAACACTGGTTCCTTCCCCCAGCCATGGAGGAAGGCCATAGTTTGTCCCATTGCCAAGAGTGGCAAACCTAAATGTGACCCCTTCAGCTATCGTCCCATTTCTCTCCTCAACTCCGTCAGTAAGCTCTATGAGACTTTCATAGCAAGCAAGCTGAAGTCCTTCTCCTCAAGGAATAATATTATTCCTTCTTATCAGTTTGGCTTCAGAAGCCAAACCTCCACTCTTCATGCCCTGCATCATCTCCAAAATGAGATATGCATAGGCTTTTTCAATAAGCAGCCCACTGTGGCATTAAGT